AGAAGGAGACGTAGATTTTCTCTTTTACCCACAGCTGGTTGTACACCCAGCAGGGGCTCCTGGCACAGTTGCTAAATGATGAATGATACCATACCCAGCTAGGCTACTCATTGGATAAATATGGGCAATTTCTTTTTATGGGATCATCTTCATGCTGAGTCTTGGGCACCAGCCTGAATTCTCCTACTAAGAAACTGGACATCTGCCCTTGATAGGGTGTAGCGGATAAGGCATAGTGTCTGTAATCAGAAGATCTAGATCTGAGTCTCAGTTGTGACACTTTTTTGCTGTGTTACCTTGGGAAAGTTATTTACCCTCTCTGAGCCTTAATTTTCTCACTAAAAGGGGATCACGGTACCATCATGAATCTCAGTTTTGATTATAATTATGTTTTTTTCCAGTAATGGAAAGAGGGCAGGGATAAAAGGCAGTGGGCTGAGCTTCTGAAAACTCTCATGAGTAGGACTTACAGAGAGTTCACCTGGTTCCTTCTGGGGTTCACTCACAGCCTTATAATTCTCGTTATTTAGAAAAACAAGCATGGATGTCATGTATTACAACTTGCAGAGAACACACCTGCCCCTGAGACAAAGTAGTCATGATGATGGTGGGCAGATGGGGTAAATTCCGGGGAACTGGGATTCCTTGTGGGAATGGAGGCCATTTCCCCATGGGTGACTCACAATGGCTGAAGAAGGGAAATGCAAGTATCTATTATACACAATTAGCAATCACCCCACAACCCAAGCTCATACGAACCCCACCACCCTGAAAGCTGTTGCCTTTGCATAGTGTCCCCCACCCCATCTCCATTCCCAACTGCCGAGACACTCATTTTAACCTGCTTTCAGGAGGCAGAAACGTGGGTGGGAGGGAGAGATCTCATGAGGTTTGCCCAGGGACACTCCTGCCCCTGACCATGAGGGCAGGCTCCTATCTTCTACTCCTTGGGACCAGCTCTGGGCCACACTCACATGAAAAGGGAGTGTGATCCTTGAGCATGCCCTGAATGTGGTGTTGGAAGATGGGACCCACAAGAAGACTCTGCCACAAAAGCGCTGTATAACTCAGGGCAAATCACTCAATCTCTCTGAGCTTCAGCTTCCTCCACAGTAAAATGGAGATACTAATATTTGCCCTGACTTCCTCACGTTGCTGATGTGAACATCAAATTTAAAAACAAAAATAAACAAACAAAATCATGAGGATGAAAATGCTGTTTAAATACTTAGTTTTAGGAGAACAATGAAACAGTTAAGAGGAATAAGCTAGACATACACATAGCAACGTGGCTGAATCTTAAAACCGTGGTCCTGAATAGAAGACAAGAAACATAATGAGCTATATCACAACCCTATCCACAGAAATTAAAAATCCGCTCCCACAAAACAAGCATACATGCTTTTCAAGACTCAACATTAAACAAATTAAAATGGTGATGGGATCAAGGGATGGGGATAAAAGGAATGAATGAATAAAAGAATGAAGAACGGCAGAGGTCTTGCACGGACCAATGGTGACACTGTGACATAAGATGAGGGGTAGAATAGTCCTGTGTACCTGAGATCCAAGAAAAATATTTTTTATTATTAAGCATCAGCTTTATGAAGTAAGGGAATTGACAACACTTCTTCTGCAGCGTAGTCATTCCTTGATCCATTTATTCAACAAATGTTGGTTGGGTCCTGACATAGTGGCTCATGCATGTAATCCTAGCATTTTGGGAGGCCAAGGCAGGAGGATGCTTGAGCCAAGGAGTTTAAGACCAGCCTGGGCAACATAGAGAGACCCCTCTCTACAAAAGTAAAAGAATTAGCCAGACATGGCAGCTCGTGCCTGTGATCCCAGCTACTTGGGAGGCTGAAGCAGGAAGCTCGCTTGAGCCTAGGAGTTTGAAGTTACAGTGAGCCATGACTGCACCACTGCACTCCAGCCTGAGTGACAGAGGGAGACCCTGTCTCTAAAAATATAAATAAATAAACATTGGTTGAACCATCTGCAAGAGGCCAAACTGTGCTGAGTACCAGCATAAGCTTCCCCAAAAAATGTCTTGCCTTTGTTTACAGACAAGGAAACAAATGATCACAGTATAGTATGACAGTGTCTGACAGAGGAAAGGACAAAGAAACCCAGAGGAAAGGTCCCTCGCCCAGCCTGGGGGAGAGGGAGGAGGCTGTGTAAGCTAAGGCTGGAAGAAGGAGGCTTGAGCTGTGCTGAAGTATGCGTATGGGTCCATCTGGTGAAGACGGGAGGGATGAAGACTCTAGGTATAGGAAATAGCAAGTTCAACAGCACTGGCACATAAAGCAGCAAGCAACTCAGTGCAGGCTAACATGGGCTGTCCCATGGCAGGCACCTGGGGAGGCTGAGGCCAGAGAGGCAGCCCACTCTGAAGGGTCTTCAAGACCAAGACAGGGACTTCAGAGATTCCCTAAATGCAGGGAGCTGATGTGGTTTTTACCCAGGAGAACATCACACCCAGATATGTATCTTTAGTAGCCACCACGGTTACAATGTGGAGATGGATTAATGGAGAGAATCTTGGGGGTGAGGAGGCCATTCAGAAGGTTGCATGAGCACTGGAGGTCTGAACTAAGGCAGTGGATGGAGTCTGAACTTGATGGATGGAGAGAAGAGACTGAGGCTGTGAGACAGTAAGAGGTAGAGTCAGGGTTATGTTGACTGGTGTATGAGTGGACATGGAGTAGAAAAGGGGTAAGAGAAGGTCAGAGATAATGTCCATGTTCCTGACTCAGAAATCAGAGTAGCTGACCATGTCATTCTCCAGAAAATAACATCCAGGAGGAGGGACAGCCTTGGGTAAAGGAGCAGGGGATGCAAAAGGTGGGTTGTACACACATACACAACTTGGTGGAGGGCCCTGGATGGAAATATCTACATTTGGCAGCTCTGCCATATAAAACCACAGGGAGGGACGATACATCTGGAAAAATTTAGAGGATGAAAAGAGAAGAGAGCCAAGAACGAACCATGCATTTAAGGGATGGGCAACGGAATTACAGCCTGCAGAAAAAAGGAAAGAAAAGACCAGAGGAGGTGAGGTTAAGAATAAATGAGACCAGTGTGGTGGCTCATACCTGTAATCCCAGGGCTGTGGGAGACCAAGGCAGGAGGATCACGTGAGGCCAGGAGTTTGACACCAGCTTAGGAACCATAACAAGATTCTGTCTCTCCAATGTGTGTGTGTGTGTGTGTGTGTATTTTAATTAGCCAGGTGTGCTGGCACACACCTACAGTCCCAGCTACTTAGGAGGCTGAAGCAGGATTGCTTAAGCCCAAGAGTTCAAGGCAGCAGTGAGCCAAGATCACACCACAGCACTCCAGTACGAGTGACAGGGTGAGACATTATCTCAAAAAACAAGAAGTGAATCATGGAAATCAAAAAGAAGAACCATTTCAAAAAGTAGGAAGCAGGGTACAACAGATAGCGCAAATAAGTTAAGTAACATCAAGACTGAGTTGAGTATAAGCCTACTGGTAACAGCAGGGAGTGCACCCACACCACTGTGGAGTGAGAAACAGAGAAAGTAGAAGCTGCAGGTGCAGAGAATTGTCAGGAAAGCTGTCTGTAAAAAGAAGGAAAAAGACAGAACTAGAGAAATCCAGGAAGAAATTGTTAAAGGATGAGAACAACTTGTGTAGATACTGAGGAAAAGATTTAGGAGACAGGAAGAGATTGAAGATGTAGAAGAGAAGGGAAATTTGATGGAAGGGGGTCCTAGCGAAGGAGAGATATGAAGATGGAGGGAAGTGCACAGCTGAAGGAATTCACACGGACTGAAGAAGGGACACCTCTTCCCCTGGGCACAACGAATTTTCCAGCTTTCTTAAAATAATACTCCATACATAGTTCTACGCTCTCTATAAAATAAGACTAGCATCTGTTAATGAGATTACTGTAAAGCTAATTTTGCTTCATTCTTTACCTAATTTCCTTTCTCCCCAACTTCCTCCAATAATGACAAGAGCAGTGAGGTGCCCTGAGAAGCAGGATGGGGGGCCCAGTGTCAGCAGGGATGGACAGAGGAAAAAAGAGTCCAGCCTGTGGTGGGACATAAGAGGCTTCAACAACCCCTCAGAACCACATGTCTCCGCTGGACCTCGGCAAGCTGAAAAGCCCTGCAAGCTTATGGGGAGACTGCTGGCTTCCCTAGGGTCTATACCTTTTCTGACTTTGCCCTGGGTCCAGCTCTGGATCCACCTCTACATTTTTAACTCACCCCTGCTCCTTTGGCTCGTGGGATTGCTCTTTCATTGCCGACCAGATTCTTGGCTCCTTCTCAAGAGTTTTGCCTTGTGTTCAACTCTTTGATATGCTAGCTTTTGACTATCTTGGGTAAAAATCAGGTACTTATGCTCCTCCTCATTCAAAAGGGAATTCGAGGGTTGACAAGGGGTTCATAAAGATAAAAGGGGTTTTTGTCGTTGTGCACACATCACAGAGTGTACTTACACAAACCTAGACAGTACAGCCTACCACACACCTAGGCTACAAACCTGTACTGCATGTTACCGTACCAAGTGCTGCAGGCAATTGTACACCATGGTATTTGGGGATCTAAACATACCTAAATGTAGAAACTGTACAGTAAAAGTATGGTATAAAAGATAAAACTGTATACTCATACAGGGCCATTACCATGACTGGAGCTTGCAGGATGGGAAGTTGCTCTGGGTCAGTGTGTGAGCCTTGAGTGAATGTGAAGACCCTACAAGGATTAGAAATACTGTACACTTAGGCTATGCCAATCTACTCTAAACGTTTCTTTCTTCAATGATAAATTACCCTTAGCTTACCGTGCGTTTTTACTTTATATACTCTTTTTTTTTTAAGTACAAATTGGGAAACATGATTCTTTGGTTTTAAATAAATACTTACACATGACTTGGGTCCTACAAGCATCTGGACTCTAGGTCTGAGTGCTGGAGTGTCTGGCCCGTGGACCCGCAAAGACGCCATGGTTCCCTCCCCGTCAAGACATGGAATTGAGTGTCAATGGTTAGATCACAACGCGCCCCTTTTCTAGAGCCTTCCCTGGCTGTCTGCTGGCAGGATCCGGCTGGGAAAAAGACTGGAATTTCTTGGAAGGCCCATGATCCACATGGTTGAGGATTCTAGTGGTTCTCTTGGTTCCCCTGGTGTGTGTGAAGGGGGCCGAGGCCCTTAGATGACCTTCTTCGGCTCGTCGTACAGGACCAGCACGAATGCGCCCCCATGCCCTAGAGGACGTTGGACCACGCACCCTTGAAGGAGGCCTTGCCCCCCCTCGTCTCTGAAGGTCTTCCTCCAACAGTGGAAGGTGCCCGTGTACATGACGTCACTTCCTTTGCGCCCCGACTGCATCATCATCCGCAGCCACACCGTGTGGAAGGGGTAGGAGACCACACCGGCCACTGCCGTCAGGGTCTGAGCAATCATCCAGCTCACCACGATGTGTGTATTCTTGCGGTCGGGGAGCACACCCTTGACCGTATCGTACACGGCAGAGTAGGCGGCCCGGTAGATGATGATGCCCTGCATGGAGACACTGAAGCCCTGGGACAGGCCGCGGACACCGTGAGACTTGGTGGTCTTTGCCAGGCAGTCTCCCAGGCCTCGGAACTCACACTCCGTGCCTGACTTTCCCACGTGTTACCCGGCAGGTTCTGGCAAAATCCAGGGGGTACACGAAGCACAGGGAGGTCGCGCTGGCTGCACCGCCGGAGGCCAGGTTGCCCACAAAGTACCTCCAGAACTGCGTGTGCTTGTCCACGGCTCCCAGGAAGATCTGCTTGTTCTTATGCTTGAAGATGAAGTTGAGGGCTTGCGTGGGGAAGTAGAGGATGACGGTGGCCAGGTTGCCCTCCAGAAGGACAGCACGCCCTGCTCCTTAGGGATGCGGACGATGCAGTAAACAATGCCCTTATACTGCTTGTCGGCAGCGATCTGCTCCCTGGCATGCTGGACCTGCAGCAGCAGCTTGACCCACTCGATCCGGGCCATGGCCATTTTGGAGATGGCGGCGGCGATGCCTCCTGCCAGGAAGTCTGTGGCGAAGGAGATGGCTTGTTCCGTCATGGTGGCGGGGCAGGCAGCAGAGCGGGCTGACAGCAGGAGAGCGGGCACAGAGAGTGAAGAGAGGGCATCTACTTTATATACTTTTTAATTTTTTTTAACTTTTTGACTCTTTTGAAATAACAGCTTAAACACATTGCACAGCTGTACAAAAATAGTACCTGTATATTCTTATTCTATAAGCTTTTTTCTACTTAAAAAATTTTAAAAATTTTTACTTTGTAAATTTTTGGTTAAAAACAAATACACAAACACATTAGCTTAGGCCTACACAGGGTCAGGACCATCAATATCACTGTCTTCCACGCTCACGTCTTGTCCCACTGGAAGGTCTTTAGGGGGAATAGCACACATGGAGCTGTCATCCCCTATGATACTAAAGCCTTCTTCTGGAATACCTCCTGAAAGACCTGTCTGAAGTGAAACTGTTTTACCGTTAACTTTTTTTTAATAGGTAGGAGGAGTATACTCCAAAACAGTGATTAAAAGTAGAGTAAATACGTAAGTCAGTAACACATTTATCACTATCAAGTATTACATACTGTACATAATTGTATGTGCTAGACTTTTTATTATTATTACACTTTAAGTTCTGAGATACATGTGCAAAACATGCAGGTTGTTACACCCATCAACCCATCATCTACATTAGGTATTTCCCCTAATGCTATCCCTCCCCAGCCCCCAACTTCCCAACAGGTCCCGGTGTGTGATGTTCCCCTTCCTGTGCCCATGTGTTCTCATTGTTCAATTCCCACTTATGAGTGAGAACATGCAGTGTTTGGTTTTCTGTTATTGTGTCAGTTTGCTGAGAATTGATGGTTTCCAGCTTCATCCATGTCCCTGCAAAGGACATGAACTCATTCTTTTTATGGCTGCATAGTATTCCATGTTATATATGTGCCACATTTTTTTTATCCAGTCTATCATTGATGGGAATTTGGATATGTGCTAGACTTTTACATGGCTGGCAGTGCAGTAGGTTTGTTTGTACCAGCATCACCACAAACATGTGAGTAATGCATTGTACTCCTTAGGCAATAGGAATTTTTCAGCTTCATTACAATTTTATGGGGCCATTGTCATCTCTGCAGTTCATCATTGACCAAAACATTGTTATGTGGCATGTGACTGTATATCAGATTTACACTATAATATATTGAGAGGAGATGAAGAAAGTGACTGTGAGAGATAATAAATGCTCATTGTTTTAATCTACTAAATTTTGTGGTAATTTGTGTTTCTCACTACAAAAATGGAAAAGTGGGAAATCAACAATGTCTAAAACAGAAAAAAGCAGCAATATAATCTTGTTATTTAGAGATATGGAAGTGATATCCTAAAAAAGCTTACAACAGTTGGAGCTGGAGGATGTACTTCTAAGATGGCTCACTCACACGGCTGGCGAGTTATTGCTGGCTCTTAGCAGGTGGCCTCAGTTCTTCAACACATGGACCTCTCCATTGTGCTGTTTGAGTATCTTCACAACATGGCAGCTGACTTCCTCCTGAGTGGGCAGTATAGGAAAGAACATGGTGGAAGCCACAATTCCCTTTATGACCTAGATTCAGAAGTCACATTCCATCATGTAGGGTATAACTTATAACTACACAGGTCACCCTATTCTATGTGGGAAGTGACTACACAAAGGCATGACTTACTATGAGGCAAGGATCGCTGGGGGCCATCTGAGAGGCTGCCACGAATGTATTCAAAAAGTGGAAATTTGCCTGACACACTGAACCTCATCCTTAATCCTTTTAGTGGTAAGTACACAAAGAGGTAGACCAGTGGCATAGCTGCTCAGCCTTGTTCAATAGAGCTAGCTAGCCAGCGGCCAAAACAATATGTTCCTGTCTCTGAAGGTCTGACTTATCTGTGAATAAGACTAATGGAATCTAGAGGAATGGTAGGAATGCATGTCTTTTATCTCTATGAATGCTATTTTTCACCACCAAGCATTTCGTAAATTGTGAGCTGCAGGGAGCTCAGTGTTATGCTGACAAGTACATGGGGTTCAGCCCCTCCCTGTTACCAATTAAGGGCGGCCTCATTCAATAGGCTGGGCTGGAGACAGGCTGTCAGCCTTCTGGGAAAGTTCAGGAGCCTGGCTAGGGCACATGCTTGGCTGAAAGGTGAGCCTCCTGAATGTAATACCTGTCCTAGATGCAGACAGTTTTGGCATTTAGGGCACTCCAACTTTAAATCCTTGCCCAAGAGCAGAAAAAGAATTTATTCCTTCTTTTTAATTCTATCAACCCTTCAAAGTCCAGCTCAAAAGTCCCCCCACCGCCCACATCCAGCATCCCTCATTCCCTTCATACCTGCTCTTCTGCTCCCTCCAGACCAGTATCCAGGCCTCTTGGGCCTCTTCCCTGCTTCCCTGTCCTAACTTACCGATACAGAGGGAATTAACCAAGACTGTTAAGGAAAGGTGGGTACAGAGCAGGACTCAGAGGCACACAGATGTGGATATATTGACCCCAACGAACACCACTGTCTCATTCAGATATGAGACACACCTCGCCAAGGTACCCCTGTCAGCTTGTACCTTCCCAGACCTCAGGTCTACCACGAAGCCCTCTTACCTTTACAAAGTGTGCCTTTAAAAAAGGATGATTCCAGGGCACAGAGATACACAGAAATGATATCCAAAATTGTGTGTTTGTTCAGGCATTTCTTTTTCCCAGAAAATGCCTGAATATTTTCATCAGATTCTCAAGGCCCAAAGAGGTTATGATTCCTTGTCAGTGTACACAAACCACACCATGCAGGCCAGATGGGGCCCTGTGAGATTACTGGTTTAGACTGCATAGGGTTTGGGGAGTTTTGACAACATTTAAAAGTCACATGATTTTGCACAAAAATCCAGATTTCTGGCTTTTAAAAAAAATTTTTTTAATGAAGCAACCTTGAGCCCACATTCCCTGGTGGCAAGAATTGGCTGGCCCAGGGCAGCAGCTGCCCTTCAGATGGGGCAGGGGCTCCCCACAGTCCCCAGTGGACAAATTTCTTTTGGATGATTTTGTCTGCCCTCTCTGTCTAGGTCCTTTGTTTAAGATCTTCAACAATTGGTGAGTGTTTCTCCCAGCAGTTGATTTTTGTTGGTTGCAAGCCACTGTTCTCCATTTTTGGTAACTCTCCCTACCCAACACAACACTTTCAACAGGAACACACCCTCATGCACGCTATGTGGGGAGGGGAGCTCTTCTTTCCATTGTGACATTTCATTACCTGTCAGAAGAGCCTACTTGAGCAGGGTGCTCCCACCAGACTCCACCTGACTAGAAACCAGGCAGGCACCAGCCCTGAGAGCCTGTTCACCTTGGTTTCTTGGATGGATGCTAACAACCTCAATTTGCTCTAGAGGCGAGAACTGTTGATATGGTTTGGCTCTGTGTCCCCACCCAAATCTCATCTTGAACTCTAATCCCCAGGTGTCAAGGGAGGGGCCTGGTGGGAGGTGACTGGATCATGGAGTGGTTTCCCCTATGCTGTTCTTGTGATAGTGAGTGAGTTCTAGCAAGAGCTGATGGTCTTAAAAGTAGCACTTCCCCTTCACTATCTCTCTCTCTTTCTCTCTCTCTCTCCCCGCAGCAGCCATGTAAGACATGCCTTGCTTCCCCTTTGCCTTCTGTCATAATTGTAAGTTTCCTGAGGCCTCCCAGCCATGTAGAACTGTGAGTCCATTAAACCTCCTTTCTTTATAAATTACCTGGTCTCGGGTAGTGTCTTTATAGCAGTGTGAAAACTGAGTGACACAGCTGTCATCAGTAATAAGGGTGACACTCTGTTCTCCACCAGACCACACATTGTCTATTTTCTGTCTTTAGCCTGTGGACTCAGGAATTGCATTACTCTTCACTTACTAATTCTGTGACCTTGGACAAGTCACTTAATCTCTCTTCTGCCTCAGTTTCCCAGGCTGTAGAAAGAGAATAACAGTGTCACCCTTATAGAACTGCCATAAAGTGAAACAAGAAGATCTAGTTTTAAATGCTTAGCCTAATATCCAGAACATTGTAAGAATGTATCAACTATAAATTATTATAATTTCTGATCTCAGTGACAAGAATTAAACCAAACCAAAACAAGAAAATAAAAAACAAAATAAATACTAATTTTCTCTGATTGGAGCCTGGTTCTTCAGCTCGACCTTTCTTCCCTTTGATGATTCCCCGAAGTGACTCCAGGAAATTCCCAGGGATTCACTCCAGGGTTCCTCCAGACATAGTTTGGTTTTTTTGTTTTTTTTTGTTGTTGTTGTTGAGACAGGATCTCACTTTTTTTTTTCAGACTGATCTTGCTCAGGCTGGAGTGCAGTAGTACGATCATAGCTCACTGCAGTGTCAATCTCTCAAGCCCAAGCAATCCTCCCACATGAGGAGCTGGGACTACGGGTACATGTCACCACATCTGGCTTTTTCTTTTTCTTTTTTTTTTTTTTTTTTT